CGGGGGTGGAGGCGGGGCGGCCGAGGTCTGGTAGTGCACGTTGTGGGGAAGAGTCTGCATCAGGGCCTGAGAGCCCGGAGGGTAGGAGGGCGTCGCGGCCGCTTTGAATCCGGGGAAGGGGCCCGCCGGGGAGGTAGTCTGAGCGGGGAAGTAGGCCGTGGAGGCGGGCGGCGCCGGCGGGGGAGGGGGCGGCGGTGGCGGAGGGGCGGCCTGCGCATTGTACTGGACGAACGAAGGCGTCGCGACCTGGCCTGTGGTTTGGTTTTGGGACTGGGAGGAGAAGAGTGCTCTCTGGCTGCGGTAGGGCGAGCCCTGAGGCTGCACGTGGAGGAGGGCCGGCCCCGGGTAGTGCACGGGGGAGGAGGGCGGCGGCGGGTGCAGCTTGGTTGGGGTGACGGCCGTCGGTTTGGACTTTGGCAGCTGCAGGGTCTGGCTCGCTATTCGAGGCGGACCGTCGCCGTCTTCCTCTTTCCAGCTGCAGGCTATTACAGAACCGACTGGCCCAGGAGAGCCCGGCTAAGAGGAAGCAACAAAACCATTAAAAAAGAAAAAAGAAAATAAGTCCTGCATAATCTGGTGAAGACTTACTGCATGAGTCGGGGTCTTCTGAAGTCCAGGAGATGGAGAGTCCCTTGCTGTCGGTGTATCACCTCCTTCTGCTTCACCATCTTGAACAACAGTAAGAAATGATGTCACCATACTTTTGAGTTCGGATGGTACTTTGAGATCTAGTTATGGTTTAAAACATTCATATCGGCAGCCATTTATAGGGGAATGTCAATTACTCGAAGCAGGACTCGGTCCTTTCTCCCCTGTGAATACTTGCGTCAGAAAAAAAACAACAGAAATAAGCATTTTCTACTGATGCTATTATGAACTGCCCAAACTAAAAATACGAAACGTTTTCAAGATTTGTGTCAGGCCTGTAGTATGTGTGACTCAATTTTGGTTTCCCGACAACGCTGGTATTCTGATTTTCCTTATAAGTGCTTGGCAGTGCATCACCTGTGTCTTTGTCTTTACTGAGCAGCAGAGCTCTGTGGTAGCTCCGTTCCCGTGCCTGTTCAACGGACGTGGAGGACGTCCTGGGAAGAAAAACATCCATTAGCTCAAAGACAAACACAGCAGATGTCGTGACGTCACCGCCCGCCTACCATTGTCCCTCTCCTCCTTCCCTCTCGCCCAAGCTCTCAGTCTCCTCCGTGGTCTGCGGCTCCTTGCCGCTGCCAAGAGCTGCAGAAGAAGGAGGGGGAGGCGGAGGAGGAGGCGGAGGTAAGGAGCCCTCGCCGCTGGTCTCCATGGCGACAACGGGAAAACCGTCCATGCTCAAAGGGAGCACGCTGGACACCGGGGAGCTGCACTCCGTCTTGGAGCCGCTGCGGCGAGCTTCGCGCTGTCGCTTCCTGTATTCCAGCAGGGAGACCTTGAAGAGGGACGTGGTGTTGAGTGCAGGTGTCATGGCAAACCACAAGAGGGTGATGTTGCACGCCACAAGCTCACCTTCTTCTTCTGCGGCGGATTCTGCGCAGAGCCGCCTCCCTCGTCGCTAACGAGCGAGCGGGAGAAGCCAGCCGAGTTCGGGTCTTCGGCGCAGGGGTAAAAGAGGGGCCCCTGGCCGTCAGCAAAAACCGTCTGGGTGGCCGGTGCTGCCACCGCAGGTCCCATTGCAGCTTCAGGTCTGAAAGAAGCCTGCAGGGGCTCCAAGGTGTGCGACGGGGTGAGGTCCCTTAGGTTGGAGTTGACGGGAGAGAAGCTGAGGCCGGCCGGTGTCGCCGGGCACCTCTCCGGGCTCTTGATCCAGCCCGGGAAGGAGGAGGAAGCACACGTTTCGGCAGAGGAGGAAGCCTCGCCGCCGCCGGCGCCCTCCGCCGTCACAAGGTCCGGCCGGTCCTCCGCCAAGTCCGCGCACTCGATAACGGTGGGCGGCTGCGGACTCTCAAGTACTGACGTCTTGGCGTCGGGCGGGAGGCCGTCGGAGCACGGCGTCCAAATGGAGGGAGACGGGATCAACGAAGGAGGACGGTCTGGCAGGTTGCCAACCTCGAATAAATTTGCTTTCATGCTGACGTCAGGCGAGCTTTCCGTTGAACATTCGCTCTGCGGAGAACAAGGGACGTCATCATTCGCCATTTCACCAAAATGGTACGGAGAAAAACTCGGTCATTCACCTCCCGCGGTGGAGTAAGTGTTTGTGTTGGCGTGCCGGCGACGTGCTCCGCTCCAGACTCCTCAGTTCGGGGCCGCGGCGGCGTGGCCGTCAGCACGGGCGGCGCAGACGTTTCCGTCGGGTCGGCCCGGGTGGGCGTGGCACAAGGGGAGGCGTAGGGCGTGGAGCTCTCCGACATGCAGGCGTCGAGAGGGCTCAAGCGGCGCTTCTTCAAAGGCGTGGGCAACTCTGAAAGAACACGCAAGCGTCACACGCGTTGTCTTTGGTTCGATCGGTAAGATTCGTGATTAAGAGCGCGAACCGGGCAGTGAGCAGGAGCCGTTGTAGGGAAGGGGGCTGTCCGAGTCTCCGTTAATGGAGGGACTGAGAGGACCCTCGCTGGGCATAAAGAGACTGGATCTTCTGGCCGGACTGGTGGATCCCTCCTCTTCGAGCGCCTGCTTTAACCATCGCTGGAGCGAAAGAAGGGAGCGTGAGTAAACCGGCGGGTGAAGGTTTTGATGCAGAGCAAAGTGAAGGGGAACATGGCACCTTCTTGCAGGACCCGGTGGTCGGGGGTGTTTCGGGCAGTTCTCTGGAACGCCGTCTCCCGGTGGGAACGCCGGGGGCGGTGGGGCTGCGGTTGGCAAGGAAAGGCGAGGAGAAGCGGACGTAGTGCTTGGGCGTGCTGTACACCTGCGGCGAGCAGGCCAGGCCCGGAAGGGCGTTGAGCTGGGTGGCCAGGACTTCGGGGTCGCTGCTGATCCGCAGCGGTCGCTCCGGCGCCGGCTCCGGGGTGCGTGCCGCCAAACGATCCGGCTGTTTCTCGCCCACCCATTCGCTGACAAAGTGCTGCGGAGGCAAAATGATTACCGCCAGCCCGCTCGTCGCCTGCCGCAATGAAAATACCTTTTTCGTTTTGAAACTCTTGCTCCCGGTGCGGTTTCGGTCGGGGGCGGGAGAGTTGCTCTGCGGGGGGCTGGCGTCCGGCGGCTGGGCGGCGACGGCCTCTGGCTCCGGCGCGATGGGCGCCTCCCCTTCGAGGGGTTCGCTGCTCAGAGGCTCAACGGGCTCCACCGGAGAGCCCGGGGCCAAGTCGGAGCAGGTGCTGATGGTGCGAGCTCGCCGCCGCTGCTGGCCGATGTGCGTGCGGTTCCTGGAAAAGCTTTTCCTGTTCCGCGAGCCTTTGACCTTAGCCGGCTTCAACCCCGGCTCCTCTTTTACCTCGAGAAGAGGCGGCTAGAGAGACGGAAGAGAGAATTACAGCTGTAACATTGATGCAGTCGGAGAAAAGGTCTGACATGAGCTCCGGTTGGAACAGGGCTGATTTACTGACTTGTGTTCATGCTAAATCGTTCAGCCCTTTCCCCCCGAGACTATAAAGTTCCCTTCTTTGTGAGTTCACCCTTTTGTAGCACCATCACAGCCATAACGTCTGATCCATCATCCTACCTGTATGACAGAAGGGGAGTCCGCCGTCTCCGGAGTGGCCGGCGGCTCCTCCTTGATGTCGCTGCGACCCCCGAGCTCGGGCTTGACGCTGCCGATACGTTCCAGCGCTTGCTCGCGCCGCTTCTCCCGCTTCTCCATTCGTGCGAAGGCCTGCAGGATGGCCTCCATCTTCCGCTCCTCTCGCGTCTGCGGGGAGGAGTTACGTGAGAGATGAAGACAATGCTCAGGTCAGGATTCATCAGCGTCACATGGAGCAAGGTGACGGATTAATTTGGAGATGCAGAGAGAACATGACACCCCTCGGTCGGCTCAAGACAGAGGAAAAGTCAAGAGGAACACTGCTGAGGCACAAGAAGCATTAGGTTGGAACAGCTACCCCTGGGGGCTGGGCGGGTACTCTTTGGGAAGACATCATGAGTGACAATGTGTACAATTTGGAGAGGATCAGCAGAAAGGCTCGGAGTAGGTTAACCAAAATAACCGGCAACCGGCTTTCACTCGACCCCCCCCTCTAAAACTGTGAGAATCCATCTCTCACAGAGTCTTTAGCGGCACGCTGGCAGGCTAACGATGAGTCAGCACTTTACGCCCAGGCTCCGCGATGGCAAATGAAGCTGACTGCGGGGTAATTTCCAGAGTGCGCCCATGCGTAATTTTTCCAGTGTTTAGTCGACCCCCCGCTCGCTCATTTTGATCCCTCTCATGCGTCGAGAACGTAATGGAGCGGACTGGCGAGTGGGCGGGTCATTTCATTCAGTGTGTGGCTGGATAGCGATTTAAGAGGGGACTACCGGGGATCTTTTTTGCCTGCGTAAGACACAAAGCAACAGGCAAGGAGCAAAGGAAACGGAAGGCCAAAGCAAGACACATAAGGGGAGGATGTCAGTACTGATGAAGATGAAAGAGGCAGCTGCACCGAAACCGAGCCACAAATATCAGACCACACCCAGACACAAACAAGTGGGGCGGGGAAGGGGGGGGCGGGAAATGGCTGGTTGTCGATTTTTGCCATCTACACTCTGCGCTGGTCGGCTGCAGGAAAGCTACTCAAAAGCTGAAAGGGCGCCGTTTGCCTCGGCACACTTACCATCTTCTTCCTTCTCTCTGCAATCTGTTCCTCTGACTCCATCTCTACTTCATTGCTAACGGACGTTTTGTCTTCTAGATCCTCAAATAAGTCGGGATCCTGTAAAAGGGAGGTGGGGGGTGGGGGGAGAGGTGGCGGCATGACGTTTTGTCATTCAGGTCTGGCTACAGACGAGAGGGAGAACAGGTGAGAGCAGCGGAGGACAGCAAAGGTGAGGAGGGAGAGAGTGGGCCAGTCACCTGAAGCGTATTGGGTGAGGTGAATATTGGGAATATTGGGAGGTGTCGTTTTACAGCTTGTGCTGCAAGTGGGCACAAAACAACACTGCTCACCCACTGGCGTTGATGTGCACCGAGAAATGAGTTGCTATCCCCTCCTTTATTGGGGCTAAAGAGCTTTATCTGGCATGTGGTAAAGTAACTCGGGGACAAAGGTGACGCAGGAGGTCAAACTAAAGTTTAAAATAAATAAATAAATAAATAAATAAATAGATAGATAGATAGATAGATAGATAGATAGATAGAAATGGACAAACAGTGGAACTCACATGCGGAGACGATAAACAGGGGAAATCAGTGATCAGGTACGGGGTGGGCAGTTTTACCTGATTGTTTGAGATGGAGAGTCGGAGGGGTGACAGTTTCCTCTGCTTACAGTCGCCCACGCTCTTGCCCTTGCCCTCGCAATCCACGCCAATGTTTTGGTTCTGGCTCAGGTCTTCCCGGCCCGGGTCCTTGTCCTTGCGGCTGTTCCGCCGCCGCGCGCCGGAGCCCAGGTTCTCGGTGGGCTCCAGATTATGCTTGAGAACGGGACACTCCGGGTTGCCCTTCACGCAGGCACAGTCCACCTTGTATTTACTGCACATGAAGCAAAACGGGTGAGTCCCGAGCTGAAATCACCCCCGGGGATGACGCTCCCAGTTGAGCGCGTGACTCACCAGCTGCCGAAGTCGTAATCAAAACCGATGGTGATCTCCGTGCCTTTGGTGATGGGCCTTAATGAGTAGATGTACAAGTGTAACATGGCGTCCTCGATGACGTGCCGCACCTGACGCGCAGTCGGTCGGGAGAGTGTCAGAGCACATACTAAGAGTTGCGATACGTTGCTGTCGGGGGCGTGGCCTCACCTCTGCGTTGGGGGTGCAGGATCGGCGGATGAAGCGCGCCTCGTTGCCAAAGCTGCGCGCGTCCACGCACATCTCCAGACCATCAAATTTGGAGTAAAATAACACAAAGGGGTAAGGTCTAGAAAAGGAAGCAGAGACAAGGTGTGAGCTGGAGTTGCATGAAAATACGGATGCGCTATTCAGACACATCCAAAATATCTGAGACATTTGGTTCCAGGTGAACTCCATTTGACCTTCTCTAACAATGTTACGACAGGAGTCAGGTTGAATGCAACTCTTGTAAATTCCAGTTAAAATTAAACGTAAGACCAACTTCCCATCCGTACCCCGCCATGAGCCGTGTTGTGCTTAAGAGTCCCAACTAAAACCATATCGCCGTTTTGTTGGTTCCGCTCTATTGTGTGATGCTTCATGAGGACGAATTGGCAATTTTGTCTTTCATCACCTCGTTGTGCCAAAATTACCGAGACCAACGACTGGACATGCGCATTTCGAAATCAAATTAAGCTCAGCTGTAAAGACTACGGCGTACTTTTAGTTTCAGCATCAATCCAATCTCTCGTTTTTGTATTGTTGTGTCCCACGACTGACCTCTTGAAGAAGTATCCGTTGGCTTCAAACTGCTGCCGAAGCATAAACTTGCCCCTGTACTCGATGATGAGGGAATCGGGGGCCAAGTCTCTGACGGCCTTGAGGATTTTCTTGTTCTTTTGAACTTGACTCTGCGCAAAAAAAAAAACAAAAAAAAAACCGCAGACTGAGCCACTGGTCTGAGCAACTTAAGAAAGTACAACACAACAGCTCGTGTTTGTCGTACCTCCACTGGGGGCTTGAAAGAGGCCGGGTGCGTGTTGTAAGCCAGGCTCTTGCCGTCGCCTTGCTCCTTGACGCGCAGCAGCACCTGCACGTCCTCGCTGTACTGATTGCTGCTGGCCTCCTCGTAGCGCTCCATCCACGTCTTGATCTTGTTCTCCCACAGAGCCGGGTGCTCCGTTGGCTCCTGCTCCGGGGCGGCGCCCTGTGACATGAGAAACAGGGCGGGGTTATTCCAGGATCGGCGCAGAGAAACCTGTCTTGTGGCGCCGCATGTATTTTTACCTTCACTCTGGAGGACTTTCTGGAGCCCTCTCGGAAGGCCTGCGGGGAGCAATTAAAATATGAACAAAAGGGAAAGCGCGCCATCTCCAACATGGCGCCACTCAGAACCATAAACTTCCCTCAAAAGCGCCTTTCCCTCAACATTTTGGAAGTAGCGTTTATTCGCGTCGGTTTGCAGAATTTACCTTCTTGGCTCGTGCCGAAGATGCCGGGGGTTCCTTTTCGCCGCTCTTCTTGCGCTTCTTGTCCACCTGCTTGTTGCCCAGGCGCCCGGTGGTGAGGGTGATGGTGGTGGGCGTGTGCTGGAAAGTGGAGTAGAGCTCCAGAGGCACCTCATCCCCACTCTCCGTCGCGCTGGTGTCCCCGTCTACTTGAATGACAAGGAGGCCAGCAGCGCAGATGAAACTCGTTCCTTTTCTGTCCAGCAGGTGTCACTGTTCAGAGAGTTGCGCCCCGACACGTCGGACAACCTGACGCTAGTGACGTCAATATGGCGAGTGTACCACAACTATGTGGGACTGAGAATGTTGCCAACTCATTTTTGGAGAATGTCGCCGACGGCGGATTTATTAGTCGGTCAAAGTTACCGGATGACAGTGCAATTGCCCGATGACGTCTTTAGACAGAACATTACAGAGGTTGGACAGCGGCATTAATACAACCACAACAAAATATTGGTGAGCTTGTTGATCATCACCTTTTAAAATCGGGAGGTTTGCTTTTTTTCCCCATTTTTTGGTTTCAGCTGTGGTTGCTGAGCTATTTACAAGCAATTAGCCAGCAAATCACCAAGGAAATACATCTTTGATCAAATGTTGAGTGAATGAGTCTGCAAAAGCAGCTTGTTTTTTTTTTTGCCCTGCAGCCGGTGACTACTTTGTTGTGTCGTATTACTCAGACTGTGACAGAGAAAATCACTGTGTTATTTAGAGGGGAAATGTATGTGCTTTTTAGCATTTGAGTCATTTTTCAGAAAGTTTCCACACAACTTTCGTTAGCCTAATAGCACACGTCATTTTTAACTTTGCGTGAGCAACATACCAATGTGCTTGTTTTCCAACAGCATTCAAATGAGACATTAGCAACGATTTTAAAAGCAGCTCCGTTTGCTTCTTGAGGGTACAGCTGCTACGGTAGTCTGAAGAGTGGTTTCATCTCGCAACAAAAGTGCCGACTTGGCATCGAATGGTCTCTCCCGGCTTCGTTTGGTCCTACCTGACAAACATTCCCGCTTCCTCGTCTGCAGAAGGATGGCCCTCTCCCGGTCCAGGTGTCTCGGCTGGCACCGCTCGCAAAGGTATGTCTCAGGAATGTTCTGCCTGTCGATGCCCATGCAGTCGATGTGCTGCCAGGCGCTAGCGACGGCAATCAAAGCACAGAGTTGAGTCATCTGGGGATCGCCAGGGTGTTGCGAAAGAGCGGCGTGCTTCAAGGGCGGCGAACCTGCACTTGTCGCAGCAGATCATGTAGCCGTCGTCGTGCGTGAAGCCGCAGATGCAGCGGGTGATGTCGGCCCCGTAGCTGCCATCCTCGGAGGTGCTGAGCGTGGTGCCCGTGGATGCTTCATCCTGGCCGCCCGGAACAAACAACCCCCCATCGCCCTGACGGATCAACATGGAAGGGGGAGGCGAGGCCGGCGGCGTGGGCGGGGGCCGCGCCCCATAGTTATGGTCCTGGAGGGCGAACGTGAAGTCGTCAGGCGCGGGTTCACGAACAGAATGTCTGCGGGTTGTTGGCCGCGGGTACTCACGGCATAAGGCAGGCCGATGTAACTGTGGGAATGGTGAGAGCTGCTGCTGTAGATCTGGTGCGGGTAGCTGGACTTTTCTACCACCACGGGGCTGGCCTCCACCGACTCGGGTCTGCAAACACGCACACAATGCTCACCTTAGCTAGCGCACAATATTAGCATTGTCTTCTGTGCGTTTGCTGGAACGAGTATGGATGTACAATATGCCACTGGAAGCGCCTCTCTGTCTACGAGGCAGATCGTCGGACGTGCGCGGCACGTAGACACAATCGTTTGTCAGGTTGGCTCAGGCCAAACCTGTAGTTCTACTTTCCGCACAAAAAAAAAAAAAAAAAAAAAAAAAAAAAAAAAAAAAAACATCCGCGCGCCAACGCTGAGAGCCTGTTTGGCCGTTTGTGACCAACCCAACTCACTCTTTGTCACATGGCAGATGTGTTTTATGGAGGAAATGGTGTGATCAAAGAGGGAAGTATCCATTCATTTTAAGCCTGATTCAGTTGGGGGGGAAGTACCTGGTAGCAATCAAATTCTGAGACAATTCTGTAAAGTGAAATAAATAAATAGATAACTCAATTAAATTCAGTCTGATCTGCGAAAGTAAGACAGGTGGAACTCACAATTTAGAGTGAACAAGTCGCGCAGCATTTCACACAAGCACAGCAGTACATGCCACTTTCGTTCTTACTCCTCAACACGTTTTACATTTTTAAAACACCGAAGCTTAAAACAGTTTGGAAAAAGAGAGCAAACAGGTTGAACGACATTTAAAAACGCAAAGCTGCCCCAACTCAACTCCTCATTTTGGCGCAACAGTACCTGCCACAAGTCCTCGTAGAACACGCCACACGATATTCGACACTTCCTGCACACGGTGCCGCCGTCAAAGTGAAAGCCGAACAAGTGTGCGCACGAGGTCTTAGAGGAGGAACTGTGTTGAGGCGCGCGCGCGCGCATGTGTGTTTGTCTGTGTGTGAGGGGGAGCGCTTGCTTGTGTGCCTACACTACTCATTAACTGCCACACTGGCGCTCCTAACTGTCACGGGCGTGGAAGACAGGGGGGGGGGGCCTTCACAACATTTTACCCATCAATCATTAACGCCACCAAATCAGACGTACTGTGCAAAAACAAACAAACAAAAAAACTTTCAGGTCACTAATTATCATAAATAAAGGAAAAGAAACAGCTGCTACAGGCCAAAGTGTCAAATATTTAGTGTGACTTCTCCCTCGCAATTTTAGCAAGGGCAAGCTACATCCTGAATTCCATTAGCTGTACGAAAGAATATGGAGTGATCAATTGCCTGTTGATTTGTGCGACAACAGCGAGCACACCTTTTTTGGGACATCTTGTGTTAAGCAAGGCAACGTGCTAATACTCCGATGGCATACTTGAAAAAAGTGTGTGTTTGGTGGCCCTGAGTGTATTTTAAAAAGTTTAAATGTGTTTAAAGTGTGTAAAGGGGCAAAACAATTTTCCATTTTTAAAAGTTGGTCTATCACGGGTGGGTGTGCGACATCTCCCCCCAATAAACGGGGGTTCACTGTACTGTACACACTCCACACTTGTAGCGTCAAGTGTGCAAACAAGTGAGCCAAGTTGTGCAGTGTGGAGGGAGGATATTTGAATGTGAGCATAGCTGGAGGGTTTGTATCACTCGTGAAATTGACGCACCGAGGGAGGGATGGAAGGAAGATCCTGCGCAGGTGTGGAAACAAGCGTGTGTGTGTGTGTGTGGCTTTCTGATGTGACTCAATGTTGTATTTAATTGAGGAACAGCTGTGATTCCATACAGGCAAAAACAAGGCCTGGACAAATGGAGACGAGCGGCCGGAGGCAACGCCTTCGCTCCTCGCTGGCTGCCATGGCAACGCTCCCAACTCCGCCAGTGTGTGCTCGTGGACAACCGCACGCGCACGCAGGCAGGCACACGCCGCATTAGCCAACAGCTGGCCGCCCTGCTGCATACTTGAGGGGATGTGGAAAGGACAAGACGTAACTCCCTCCCCACCATCTTTTTTTTTCTTCCCCCCTCAGCGCGGCCATTTTTATCACGAGATCTTTTCAACACCGCTGGACGGAAAAAAAGAGCATGCAGGGGAGTCAAAAAGGGGTGCATGTCACCCCCCCACCACCACACACACACACCATTAGACGCAGAGCTCCACTGAGGAGGAGGAGGGAGCTTTGTTGTGAGGGCCACCTGTCACTCAGACCACATCCATGGAAACAGGCCTTGCGCAGTGCAGAGGGGAGGTAAGTGGAGGGACGTGGTGGCGATGGGCAGATACCATGGCAACACAAGCTGTCACCGCAACAGCTCTGATGAAGGCAGAAAGGGGGCGGGGCTCTCTCGTTTAAAGAGACCGACCCCGTCCTCCTCCCCTCCTCATGAGTGGATGACGCGGGCTGTTCTTTAGTCATGCGAGAGCATCTTGCTTCATTTAAAGCCGCGCCAATGTCCTTGACGAGCACGGGGGGGGGGGGGGGCTGGTGGGGAGTCGTGAGGCTTGTTGCCATGACGGCGCACACCTTTCTGCCACAGCGGCGCACATACGAGCGCGCATCAGGCGGCAATACGCCAGAGACGCAGGCGGCACACAAACCGCTGGCCGCTGCCGTTTTGACACGGGCGGATGTAGATCACGACGGCTACGGTTAAGTGCAAGAACAATCAATGGCGGGGGCGCAACTGTCCATTACTCCAAGTTCCTCTCCTGTAATTGCCTCGGAGCGTTTAGAGGAGGCGAAGGAAGCATCGCTATGAAGGCTATTTAATGAGGAGAGGACATGCACAAGGGAAATTGTTGAAACGTGCATGAGCTGATCTTGGACTGCTGCCAATGTGGATCATTTTCACTCATGAAACTTGCCGCGCGCGTTTACATTTGTCGCTACGTTTTAAGCGGTATTTACTCAGATAGTCAGGGAAAAGAGGGCTTGTGATCAAAGTTTCATGGGAACTCCCGAGCGGCGTCAAGAGTGTCGGTGGAAAAGCAAAGCGGACGAAAAACCAGGGTGGTGTGGCATCCCGAGGATACTTACTCCGAGCCCGCCGCCATGTCCAGGTACGAGGCGTCTGCTGCTGTGTCCACCCCCGCGGGGATGACTATGCTCATGACGTTCTCTGCTGATCAGTTCTTGTCCTACTGAGTCCAGAGAATGGCAGTCCGAAACACTGGGGCATGCCGGCCGCAGCAGTCATTGCAGACATCTAAGTGCATCCACAAGGCCTGGTCGAAGGATGATAAAGGACGGAGAAAGTCAGCATTTGCCATTGCAATGAAACACGTAAAACATACAATCTTCGGGTGAAGCCAAGCTAAAGCTGCACTGCGCGCAAGCTCCCACAAAGTGGAGCAAGAGAACACGCACGGCCGCTGGCAGCCATGAAGGGAAAAGGCACTCTGATGGCTTTTTGGGCCCCCTTGTTTGCGCGGTGAGGACTGGCTACTTTGAAAAGGCGCATGCTGTAACTGTTGGCAGTATTGGTGGCAACTCAGGGGTGTATGTGTTGTGAACACCCAGACGGGAGCATGTGTGTCAGTGTGGCTGGCCCGGATACAGAGCTCTGTTGATAAGCGGGATTAGCGGGAGGGGACAGATGACGAGACGAAATAGGCTGGAGGTCACACCTCCGCCTGGCCGGGCTCACTCTGCGGACAAACAAAGGCTCCGGCCCGTGCGATCTAGACGGAGAACATCGAGTGATCGAGATGCACTCGCGTGGGAGCCAACTGCCACCTCCGGGCCTGAACAATCGCAAGACAACCACCCCGACCTGAGTGTCAGTCGCGTCTACCTCTTGACATTTCCACTGTTCGATGGCAGGGTGAAACGACCCATTGAACTGATTGTTCAAACAAGGGACGGGGCGGCTTGCCAACAACAACCACCAAACGTCAGACTAGCCCTTTCCTTCGCATTAACAAATAGCAGCTCTGTGTTTATGAGCAACTCGCTTGACTCCCACTTCATCCAGAGGCTCGCTTCCTGTCTCTGGAGCGCACATGACGGCTCAACGAGAGTCAAGACGGACAAAAGGCGGCAGCGAGAGAACAAGGGGGGGGTCGGGGAGAAAAAGAGAAAACAAGTACAGTACACCAGCATTCCTGACTAAATCTGAGCTTTGAGTGCCTCTGTGTGCGCCTCCCACTTCCCTTACAGGAACTGTCCGTCACCCTTGGAGTCAAGCGTCCAAGAAAAAGAAAGGGGGGAAAAAAAATAAAGCGCCACTCTTTCCTTTGCCCAGTCGCCCCACCCAGCCGGATTTCTTTCCCTCCTCTGTGCACTTCCTCAATAAACTAGAGACGCAGAGTGGAAGCGAAAGGAGCGGGGCCGAGGACTGACGGCGACCGTCTGACAGTGACGCTAAACAGCCGCGACCTCGCGTGGACTCTGGGTGGCGACGTTGAGCTCACGCACAGCGTAAACCAATCTGAGAGTGAGGGGACACAGTAGCTTCATTGTGTGCAGAAGAAGACGATGAAGACGTGTTTTTTTTTTTTCCCAGCCTCACAAGGGAAACCCAGACTCAGCCGCCTCCTCTGCATGTTTTCATTGTGGTTCCTGCAGCTAGCTTCTCTGAAGATGTTTTTTTTTTTTTTTTTTTTTGATAAGGGGGAAAATTACAAATTCCCCCCCGCCTCCTTCTCACTGCCAAACAGCAAACAGATGTGCCTTGACACCATCCTGGTAGGCGGTTGCAGTGACTCAGCTAGCTAGCGAGCAGAATCAAACACACACAAAGTATGACCCGGATGGAATGTTTCCACCGTGGCCACAATGACACACATCCAGCCAGCTCTTTGTAAATATCGCTGCAAGTGTGCACCAAACATGGGCGGGGGCATGTGTATGTATCCTGTACTAAACCATCCGCATTAACTGAAACCCCCTTAAAAAAGCGTTTAGGAGGACAATGACAGATATGTCGTATTGTTTGTGCTCGCCTACCTCGGAAATGGCGAACAGGCCAAGAGCACTTCCGTGGCCTGGCGGGGAAGCAAATTACAAAAACCAATGACAATCTCAAGTATCGCATTTAAAAGCGTTTCAACGTTTTTATGGCAGATTTGAGTGAAACAAAATGACAAATGCTTGTCGTATCAACGACAATGTCAATAGCTCCTTTAGAGAAAGGAGAAAGAGAAGAAGTAGGGACTATGGGCTTACAGCAGTTTGTGTCAAAAAAAAAAAAAAAAAAGGCTTCTACAGGTCTCCACAGGTCCCCTTGCTGCAGTCATTTATGACCCATTCCGCGCAGTGGTGTTACGCCACCGACATCAATGCCGAAGCCTGTTTAAAAATCCGCTACCCGGAACCGCTCTTGCCACCGAGGAGGCTGCCAGGCCTCGGCGGAGGTCCGCCCTCCTGTTAAAAAGAGTGATCTGTTACAGGGCAGCCAGTGGCACAAAAACAGGTCACCTGAGCCTAGCCTCCTCCACCCATCTGGGAGATCACGTGAGCGTGTGGAGCTGAACAGGAGCCGGGCGCATTTGTCTTGTGTGGGTCTCTCGGGGTGCGGGTACCACATGAGTGAGATCACTCGTGAGTAGGTGGGGGGTGAGAGTAGTGCCACACACATATGCACGCACGGGCCCTACATGGTGAGATCTGCTGGGCGACAACGCTTCACCTAAACAGACGTGAGACCATTTTGTTCAGTTGAAAAGACAAATGCACCCCAAGCGCACACAGACAGGCCTCTGTTTGACCGTGACAAATTCGCGATAAACCTCCAGAGAGAAGCCTCGTCTCTGTGCTTCTCTCCAGTCGTAGAGAGGAATAATAATGGATTTATCCTCTGATGGACGCCTTTGTCGCAAGGAGAACTGTCGTCTCCAAAGCAACCAAAGGTCTCCAGCCAAAAGGCAACACAAGATGAAACGTCCTGTCACAAGTCTGAATTATAACTAAAATAACTCCTTTGGCCTAATTATGCTTCTATGGGTTCATTTTAAACGGATCGTGTATTATATTTAAAGAAGAGAGAAGAAGGTCGTGTCTCATTCAAGATGACAGCACACGTCACTCTTCCCTTCCAGAGCAGCTTCTTTTTTGGGGGGTCGGAGGGTCTTTTTCTATTAAATCGGTATGCTTTGTTGGTGACTGTTGTCACGATGAAATGTATACGCGTGTGCAGTTGCTTCTCGGCGAGTGTGTCGGCGCTGCAGTGAGGGCTGCCGGTAGGGGTGTGGAGGCGACAACGCTGCTATTATGTTCCCACCACAGGCTGGCCGCGGACGCCATTTTCCTGCCGCTTTTTCGTCGTCGCAAAGTCGGCGGCGGCTCGCCAGCAGCGGGGAACACCGCTCTACCCCGCGCTCGGCCGCCTCGCTCCCCGCATAGGCGAGCCGAAGTGTCTCGCCCGTCCAACGAGCGTTTTGTCTCTGCGTGCCCGTGTGTCGAAGAGCTCGACGAAAGCGAAGCTAGCGTGCTAGCAATTATGTGGCCCACTTATGGATGGATCTAAACGGAGATCGGAGCACGGCGACGAGGCGAATGCGCCCCACTTGCCCAACGTGGTTGGGCGGAAGACTGAGACACATTGATAACCGGAGGGTAATTCCACTTTGTGTCGTCAGTGAAGGTCAAAAAGGCGGCGAACGGAATAATACGTAATGGGTGCTAGCTGGGCTAAGCTAGCAGCGACAATGAAAAGTGGGCTAATGTTTTGTATGCACATATTTGGGTGAAGAAAAAAAACATAAACAGGAAGAAGCGATCACGCCTCCGTTGGTCGACTCACACTCGCGTGTAATTGCAAGACAAATAACTAATTGATTACTTTGAAAAAGTACGGCGACTCTTTTTATCGAGTATATTTTTTAATTACAAACTGTCTGACATGGCATGGGGCGTCCCCTCCCCCATGCTTGCCGAATCCAAATCCAATACATAGTTAACATTTTACATCAAATCACGTGCCATTCACCAGCCAAGATAGGACAAAAACAGCAACATGCTTTTATTCTTAAATTTATTAAGCTTCGTCTTTTAAAAAGCCCCCCAGGAGCGTGAGGTCACTGCGCAATGTGAGGCAGGCATTTAAGCAATTTCAGCAGCAGTTTGTATGCAACTTGGGAATTGCACTCACATATTTTACACGCTTCTTTACATTAATACTAGCGTTTGTTGTTTCTGAGGCGCTTGATTCCGGACGGAAATTAGCTGCTGCGAGCGAGCAGGATTGTAAAGTTTGTAATTTAACGCAGATTACCATGTCGACCCTATTGGTTTGCTCAAAGGCGTAGTTAGGGACCTTGTCGATCGGAAGCCGACATGTAAATAATGTGCAAAGGTTTAGGGCCGAAACGGTGCGCATTTTGGCCCGCAACGACACCGTGCCGAACCACGACCGTTGTCATATGTCAGGCCCGCCTCCACTACGAAAAAAAGTACGTACCCACAGAGTGCATTGAGGTCCACCTCAACGTACATTCTACTTAATTGGCCGTTTTAACAATGCCTTGACATTTTCAGTGTTACGCCCCTAAATCGTGATGTTCGATCGGGGTTCAGGGTGTCTGCTGACTTTTTTCCAATTAAGCGATGACTGCGATATCCACATTCTAACAACAACACCAGACAGCTTTTTATGACGTTTAATGTACGGCCACTCAAACGTTGCCACACCGTATCTGTCAAGCTAATTTGGGCTAATAGCATGTGCTAGCTAGTAGGAAACAAGCGCTATTTTGACGTTGCCAATAGGACACATTACTTTATTACCTGGGTATTTCTCCTTAAATGCATCGTGAATTCGCATTAAACGCAATGTCCACAAATGTGGCTGGGATAGCATGCAAGCTATATATACACTGATACAACGTTAGCCAGCATTGGCGTGATGTGCCAGCTAAAGTAAAGCCAACAATAGCCTTCCAGGGTCGGATTTGTGCTAACCTGACATGAACAACAAACTGCGGTGTACTTACCGTGTTGTATCCACGTTGGAAGGGGTCCAGGCAACAAATTAGGCAGCAGGGCAAGACCCTCGCCGCTGTCCACTCACCCTCCGCAACCAAAACAATACTTGTGTACACACACTGCGGATCACTAGCAAAAAAAAAAGCTCTAAAACGTTTAGATTCTCGCCTCGTCCTCGAGATAGTCCTCTCCTGTCCAAAATTCCGCGCTGCCTTTGGTGCCGCACAAGGAGTGGGAGGCCCGGTTCGTCGCAGGAATTGAGAGGGGGGCGTTAAAAACAAACTATTCGCTGGGCAAAGAGCGACTTTTAGAAATTAGATCCCCCTCAAAAGCAGTGTCTTTTCCCCTTGCAAAAATGGCGGCCCTGCCAGGACTGTGTAGGCTCCGCCTCCTCCCGGTCTCCCCCCTCGCGCCCCTCCCCCAGTCAGTGAGAGCGACGCCCCGCCTCCACGCGCTGCGGGGTGACCTGGTCCATTTCACAGGGGCAGCTGTGCCCGATGCGTGCGCGTGCCCGATGCGTGCGCGTGTCCGTTTTACCTCTTCTGGGCGACAGTTTCTCTGAATTTTATAAAACATCTTTGGGGTCTTTTTTTCAAATGAATACGACCATTTTTATAATTAGATGTGCAATTTATTTTTATAATTAGATGTGCAATTTATGTAGTATGTGGTTTGTCTTACTTCTATGTCATGGCAATCATAGAAAACATTATTACTATACAGCTCACGGTGCAGAAGTACTGGGTTCAAGTCCAGCTCCGGCCTCCCTGTGTGGGGTTTGCATGTTCTCCCCAGAACTGCGTGGGTTTTCTCCGGGTACTCTGGTTTCCTCCCATATTCCAAAAACATGCATGGCAGTCTGACGAACACAGTTATTGACAATATGTTGGGTGTCTGTATGAAGAGCAGCAGAAACAAAATCCTGAACACAAAGCAGCAAGGGAGCTCAGCTCTTATATAACCCTTTACACAAGAGCGGTTTTTAGATGGGGTGGGGAGGGGGGCGTGCGTAAATACGGACGTACAAATTACAATTATTGTAATGGAAACAACTTTAAGTCCCAACTACAATCATATATACATTGACAGTACTCTCTCTTATGTGCTCAAATTGCCGTCCTTCAATATTTTGAATTTACTGAGGTCCAGTTTGTACATACTCGAGCACAGACGTCTTGGTTTTTCCAATTGGAATTCACACATCATCAACTGTATGTGGTTTACTTAATATGCTTAATTTTTGACATTATACCCCAAAGAAACTGTGGTGGCCATGAATTGTGACCCTAATGAGGACAAGCCCAATAGAAAATGGATGGATATAAGATATCATAGGATACATTCAATAATACCAATATTATTGAACTTATACCGCAACAAACATCCGAAAGGGGTGACTGTGTTATTTAATGAATACACTTGTATAATCCGGCACGCATGGTGCATCAGATGGGCTGTGGTGTATACAATATGTATATTACGTTGCGTCAAACCTCTGTAGAATTCCCTTTGACATCACAACGATGGCGAGGATGTCCTCATCGTTTCCGTGCAGCACACTCCCCTCCCCCACAACCAAAGCACAGCTCATCACGCATGCGCACTCGTCTCACCGCATCGGCTGCTTTTTCAGAGGCGCAGCAAAGCACAGCCTTGTTCTTTTATTCATCTTGTTTTTTTTGTATTCCTTCCTCTTTTAGGCCGGCGCAAAGTTGGCCGAGGAGCATCTCAAAAAGTCGGTTGCGTCAAGGCGGAGGTGCTCGGGGCAGGACACAGCGAGAAAATGTAGGATAAAGCTTGTGAATGAACCGTCGCGCGTTTTTACCCCGACGACTTAACGATGATTGCGTCCTAATAACACTATTCAACTTAAATCCAAGTTTTAAAAGATGTTTTTTTTTTTTGTAGGGTACGTGTGTGAAGGAGTATGATTGCAATGACATCATGCGGTTAGTATTTTGTGGGCGGGCTCTGAGCTGTGAGGGGAGAGGGGCGCAGCCGGAGAGCCATTCCGGCGCCATTAGCCGTAAATGTCGCAGCGGCGCACACCGACAACTAGCTCTTCTCCTTTTAGTTTTTTTGGAAACCGGTCGACGCCAAAACGTCGGATTCGCGTGTAGCTGGAGTTTGATTAGCCGCATCGGGGTTCGAAAGTGGATATTTCCCTCGTTCTTAACGCTCGACTCCCGTCGTCGACGATAAACAAGATGGCGCCCACGTTTTGTCGAGCGCGGAGCTCTTGCTGGGCTGGGTGGAGGCGCGAGCATGCGCGCTGGCGACCTGCTGGCTCATTTCCTGTTTAGTTCTCGTGCAAAGACACAAACATTCGGCATTCCTATGACAGTACTTTTCCACCATCGTTAGGAGCTTTGAAATGCCATACAATTAATGCAATACAATTAAGTTGAATAGCATCGTTGAAGCTTTTATTCCGAGGTATTAATACACAAAATATCAAAGTCACCATCATTTTCGTCATGTGGCCAACGGACAAAGAACTACAGTTACGTTTACAGCTCACGACAACGGACAAAGAACCACAGTTACGTTAACAGCTCACGACAAGTTAATCTAAACTGCACACACGCAGCACGTCCGTCCCTAGCATGTAATGAACATTTGCCACATGACCCCATCTAGTGGACAAAAACGAATACAGGTTGACGTTTTCCTCAAGAAGAGGATGTACTGACTGATAAACGTACAAATTACTGAACATTTTTTAAAATTGTCTTAAGATTCAACTGCAGCTATTCTCTCATATGCGATACCCTACGGAACTACTGCACAAAGTAGTTTGCTAATTTCTTGCGTGCATTGAGCTCTATTTTGAGCTGTATTCTACTTCACATTTATTTGCCAACCCTTCTTAGGCTCCCTCTTGTGCTCTACAAAGGAATCACGTGGTCTTCACTACATTCAACTTTTTAGGTTCAAAGTCATCAAAAGCAGTGAGTTCAATGAGGCTGTTAAGGAGTGAACAGTCACCTTGTCAATCAAAGTTAGCGATGATGTTGCAGAGATGCAGGTGGACGATGACGACCCGAGTCTGGCAGAGGTGAGAAAGAACGATTGTCGCCCTTTTCCCACTTCAATAGGTTTCCGGTGATGGTGTCACACTCGGTCCTCAAGGGCCGCTGTCCTGCTTGTTTTCCAGCTCTCCCAGGAGCAACACAACCGATTGGAATCATCAGGATCGTTCTAATTGCTGCTTCAGAGCTGGTTGAGGAGCTGACCATCTGAATCAGGTGTGTTGCAGCCAGGAGAGCTGGAAAACAGGCAGAACAGTGGCCCTCCGGGCCCGGAGCTGCGACGTGTGTATGGACTAAGTTGTGTGTGACTGTGAGTGTGTTAGCTCAAGGACAAAAGACGCTGACAGCAACAGTTGTTCTGGATGAAGACTTATTTTATCAAACAATGTGCTGCATACAATTCAATTTTTGTTATTTTTTGCAATAAACAATCGGACAAACGTCATGTCATCATGTCTGATGTTTCCGGGGCCTCCGTTAAAGTGCTGACATGCATGATAATCAACACGCTGGTTGAATTACCGATTTTGAATAGAAATTCAAAGTGGCAGTAAGGTGGAAAAGAATGACACTGCGTCCACACAAGTAGTGCAACACATCACATCAGTCTGCATAATAAAAAAAAAATTATATAAGGCACAATCATTGGGGTGAGCGCTCAAGCTGCGTGACATGATATAAATACAACATGTAATACGTATGGGGGGGGGGGGAACGGGTCACGCCTGAGCGTCTAGAAGGTGAACCTGCGCTCGGCGGCGTGACCCACCTTGTCCAGGTTGGGGTTGCAGGCAAACTGGATCATGGGCGGCGGTCCGCACATCAGCACCAGGGTGTCGGCGGAGGGTGGCGGAAGGTGGTCCCGCACCATCGCCTCGCTGATGAAGCCCTCGCTGAACTCCCAGTCTACCACAGGCACACGGGGAAGTTTAGGTTACAACACGGTTGTCATACGGAAAACATCACGTCACGGCTGCGTGTGCGTAGATGAACATACCGGCGGGCGCTCTGTCCACGGTGAACCACAGCTTGAAACGCTCGGGGTTGTTGACTTGAATCTCCTCCAGCTCGGGCCTCAGGAGGATGTCCTTCTCCGTCTGTCGGAACACGAGACGTGACGAAGATGAGGGGGAGGACGGAGCGACTGTGGGCGTGGGGTCCCACCGACCTGGTTGGCGAAGAGTAGGTGGCACACGGTCTGGTCCTGCGGGTCCTTCATGATGGCCGCGATGAGCTGCAGCATGGGCGTGATCCCTGCCAGAATGTTCACGAGAGAGGCGTGACAAATATCATGACTCGATATGAAACCTGCCATAAACATTTAGGAGGCTTAAGGGAAAGCTTGGGGTCAAAGGTGAAACTTTACCTGTCCCGCCCGCAATCATGCCCACGTGTTTGGCTGTCTTGGTCACAGCTGGAGACTTTTTGTCAGCCTGAATGTCAAAAACACCTGCAGAGGAAAATGTGCCCTGATTCCGAATTTCATTTTTCTCATCATTGTTGTCTTGCAATATTGGGAAGAATTGTCTTCACATCATGTCATTAAAAATGATGTCTCCACATGAGGTCATTAAATGTTTTAACACACACACACACACACACACACACACACACACACACACACACACACACATGGTGTGTCACCTTTGCCCTTGTAGATGAGAAGCCCGCTAGGTCCTCTGAAGTCGATGGTGTCGTTGATGCGCAGACTCTCCAAGTATTGACTCATCTTGCCACCTTCTGGGAATTTGGGATGGACGTTTTTGAAGTAAACCTGCACGTGGATGGACAACGGCCTGAGAAGTCAGATCACAATACACGAGACAAAGTGGAATGAATGTTGTCACCTTGATGACCAGGTCCACGTAGCCTTTATCGTCATCGCTGGACGTGGGCGTGTACGGGCGCACCACCAGCTTGCCGTCGATTTTGGCTGACAAATAGATGTGCTGTCCTGGGGATGACATTGTTGCATTTGGGGTGATGGATAAAAGACATGATTAGGGAACACACTCACGCCACACTGACCCACAGGGAGACCCAGGACATGTTCGCGGGACGGCAGAGCGAAGCGGAACTTCCGCGTGTCGTGACTCACAATCTGGATCAAATTGAAGACAAATCGGGAAGGCGCACATTGGGTGATCTTTTCAAAAATAAACATGTATCTTGCTTACAATGGCATGCCCCTGCCAACCCCCTCCAAAAATCTTTCCATCAGGTCAGGTTAAAAAAATATCCAATGTCATTAAACTACATCACATCATAAAAATGTACTGAATTCAGTATTGTATGTAACACATGACTGAGTAGACCATTTCTGCATTAAGTTCAGAAAAAAAAGAGAAAAGTCCAAAAGTTTGTTTTCCTTAAATGTCACAGTCAACATGCAAAATGTTAAGCAGGGCTGTCAGTATCTGCAGAACGTAACTATTCAAGTAACGAGTAACAAGTACTTGCGATGACGACCCAGCTTCCTGTTGGAGAAAAACGTGCGTGAGGGAACGCCTCCTCACCTGCTTATCAATAAGCCGCAGTGCATACTTGACGCTGGGGTCCTCCAGGGTGATGGCGGGCCTCCTCCGAGGAAAGAGGAGCCTGAAGAGCAGGTTGACCAGGCCGTCAAAGCCGCTCCGGATAACCTGACACAAATTAGCATCGTCGTTAGCATTAGCTTTGACATTAGCACTGGCCGACTCTCCGGGCAAGGGAGCTCAACGGGGCGTTGTCCCGTTTTAACAGGCTCATTTAGCAGCTTCAACTCGCTCGCGGGTCAAGTGAGTCACACTTTCCGGAGGGCGATTCCGGGCCTCTTGCCCAAACACTGTTAACACTCCCAACGCCATCAAGTGAGCGAACCCGGAGACACACCGATGTTTTTTTTTTAAAGTGTACTCACCCCAATGATGTAGGACAGCATTTTCTTCTACTTGGTTGGAGAAAATTAATGGAATCTTTTTGCGGGCAGGCAGACTCAGCAGCTGTGGCGTTTGCTTGCTGTCAAACGCTTGCAGGTTGCAACAGGCTGTTTGGTCAGGTTAGCATTTGGTTCAAAACATTATTCCGCTTCGGTCTTTCAAAATAAAAGCTAGGCAGCAGAACAACTGCTCGTACATTATTAGTAAAACCCCCATTTCATATGCTACTGATAGTACTTCAGTCATGCTTTGCATTATGGTACACATCGCACTGTAACAATAGGCTCTGATAACGTAGTATAGGCGTTTTGAGGAAACCGTTTCAAATAACAATCTGGACTGTTCACCATAAGCACTGGTCACTTGATAAAACGTCACTTCCGCCTATCCAAGCATCACTTCCGCATACCAAAGTATAAGTGTCTGGGAAACTTGCTCACCAAGACATGGAGTCCCAGTTTGGACACAAAATGTCCAAAATATACCGCGTATATTCAAGTGATAGAATAAAAATCGACAATTAAGGAATACCGGCACAATTGCGTCGCTTCCGTTCATTTCTGTGCGGAAAAATAGCTTGTTTTTATTAAATCAATTTATATTTTTCCAAAGGTTCATATATATATATATATATACACATGTATACGTGTGTGTGTAAGTTATGTTTATTCGTAAGCACGCGTCAAATTTATATATGTAAAAAAAAAAATTAATCAAGTACATCTTAATTTTTATCTATGGCCGTGTAGTTCACTATCACTGCCATCAGATGGCAGTAGTGACACGAGTTGCCAAGCCTTACTGTGTCTGCTGTGTTACCGCTAGGGGGCGGCACAGTGAGCGGATTATTGACGACAGGACACGTGTGGCTTCTGTATCTCAACAGGGAAATAAAATATTTTTTTATTGATTGATTGATCATTGTAGATTATGAAGTTATAGAACAGAAAACTCCACAGAGTTAATCACAACACGCACACACACACTCACAGAGAAAATCAAATCAAAAAGAAAAAGAATGAACAATTTTACGAGATCACAGAGGAGAAAACTCACAAAATAGCTAAGCAGGCAGTTTTTGAAACAGCAAAGGCAACGAGGATCTTCACGTCCTTTTCACACCGCTTTGCTCTGATTGGTGCAGGTAATCGTCAGAGGCGGAGCTTGGTGCGGCGGTGCAGTTGAATGGCTTTTATTTCGTCGAGTTTTTTTGTTTTCCTGCGCTGCCACCATGTTCCTGCCCCTTTTCTACTTTGCACATTTTCTTTCTCCCCTCCAAAACGTTTTCTTTAAAATTTGCTGCTTTTCTTCTTTGGGAGGGGAGGGGCTTGAAAATGACACAAAAGGAGGGTGTAAAACGTCGTTTTTTGTACAAAATAAAAGTGCAAAGTACATCTAACCAACACCAACACGATCCGAACTGTACATTCAACATTGTAACCTCCATTAGAAAAGGATGGCGACACGTAAAAGAAGATTAGATTATCATAATTCTCATAGATATACATTTTTGTATGTAAATATGTACACCCACACCCACACCCACAGAGATATGGAGAGCTCGTTTGGTATTTAACTCCCTGAACTGTGCGCGTGCACACACTCATGCACACGCGCGCGCGCACACACACACACACACACACGCAGACACTCACGCGCACACCAGAGGAAAACCAAACCAAACGGGGACGTCGTCGCTGCTTCCTCGCTCGGAATTTCGCCTTTTTCAGATGATGGAATGAACACACGCACGCGGAGTATTGCACAGTGCTCACCAAACTCTCTTGGCGGTAAATCGGTGACGTCACTATGGAGCAAACTAGCGCAAAGTCTACACGTCTATACGCACGACATCACAGTGACACACAAAGTGGGCGTCTGGCGAGACACCCGCGGAATGGCGGTGATGGGTAGCTTCTCCGCAAATGGCGCTACGCCAACTACACGACAACGCTGAAAAAAAGGTCCCCCTCGCGACCCGGACACAATATTTGAAATAAACATCGAAAAGCGGTCATTCCCAACCACTGAAATGATCCAATTTATTTCCTAGAAATATATCAGTGCCAGCGACTTATAGCGATAGGCAGAACAATTAAATGCGCTTTAACAAAATGGCAGAAGGTACAATTCACCTTTGTCATCACCTGTTGCCATTCAAACAACAGAATAATAGTTTATGTTTAACACATCCACATTACACACTGAGTAATTAGTGTGTGTGTGTGTGTGACATTTTTGTTTGGTGGTGTGCCGTGAGTGTGCGGAAGAAACGTTGTAAAGAACGCGACCGGAAATAAGCTAGCCGCTAGCTCTCTGGTTCTGTCATCATGTTTTCACACCCTGACGACTATTCGCAAACCAGGAAACCAGCAAAAATCCGAGGGTGCAAATGGGCACAAGGATTGGCAGTGAAAGAAAATGGCGTCTGCAAAGAGGCAACTGAAGTTTGTTTCCAAACAGTGTACGACGCAGGAGGCGGGGCAAGGGAGCTTAACCTCCTGGCGCATGGCAGTGTTTACGTACCGGCGTCCCCTGAGGGCGATTTTTGTCTTCTGCAATTGGGGGGGGGGAAAAAACCCAACAAAACAACAACAAAAAAAGCAGCGACGCCGGCCGACAAGGCAAACAAAAAAGGGGGTATAGAGATAAGGACACGACGGCGACAACTTGGTGCTTTTATCACGATGGCTCGACTTCAGCGGGGGCGTAGAGCAAAAGGATGCGAGATTCGTCGTACGCTTGAGTAGAAGCGAGGACCCTCGGACTGACGATTAAGTAGAAAAAATTCTTAAGAAATCATGTGCTTATAGAAGCCCCCCCTTCAAATAACCAAAGCAGTTAGTCTGTTGGACGTTTGCGCATATCTATGTATATATATCTATATATATATAGATCTATATATATAAAATGCAAATGCCTAGCCTATTTTGGAATGTAGTAACGGAGTATGCATCATACTGGCTCTGGTTCACACTCGGTCACGCACACACTTTCACACACACGTATGTGCGCCATGTACACGCGTTTAAAATAGAACATCTTTCTTCAAAACATCCAGCTAGAACAACATAGAAACACGTCAACTGGAAATGTGTGGGCCTGCATCACGTATACAGTTTACAGTACAGCGCGCGGATGGACGGACGGATGGACGTCATCTATGTACAAGTGTGTCAGTCATGCGCTATGCTGTCGTCTCTACACATCATATTGCTTAAAAGAAGGAGGGGCTGGGGCAGGGCCTGGCCAAAGGGCTGACGGGGGGGACGACCAAGCGACGAGAGAGACCCTGATGGCGAGGATATGGAGGCGTGGCTATCACTGAGGTATTTACACAGACTGGCAATTGAAGAGGGGGGGGGGCAGGAAAGGGAAGGGATGAGGGGAGGCAGTGTTTGTTGCTCCAGGGGCCACATTTTGATTTCTCGCAAATAGCAGAACATCTGCATTCTCAAAAAAAAAATAGTCATTTTTAATTTCTATTCAGTGATGAGAATTATTTTCATTTGTAAAATCAATCTTGTTAACAAATGGACATGGAAAATGTATATCATGATCTGATGATTTCCAATAAATGAGATGACCCACTATTTCCTATTTTTGGGGGGAACGTATGCGTTCAATTGTTTGACAATGTCATCACTCACACACACACAAAAGCAACATTTAACCAACGATTTGATCAAAGCATAATTTCAAGACAGGTCACAAAATGGAAGAAAAGGTTCCGTCAAAATGTGTCTACCAGTGTTCCTGACGCAATAAATACTTGGAGGGCCTCGTGTGCCCCCCACGTCATACCTTGCCGCCCCCCACCCCCTTTCCACTAGAAGGCAGGAGCGTGGAGGAGGCGACGGGCGAGGCGAGGAGGGGGCGCGGGGCGGTTGAAGAGTCGAGGGAGGGGGCGGGGGGGGGGCCTGCCTATTTCTTGGTGGAAAGCTGCGCGTCCACCTCCTCCTCGGGCTTGAGCACGTGCCACTGGGCGATGGGTCTCCTGGGATTGGCCAGCATGTCGGACCAATGGCGCAGCTCCGTGCCCGAGCTGTTGAGGCCCACGAAGACTTTGCCGATGGCGTCGTTCTTGCCGATCTTGTCGTAGTCCAGCACCGTGATCACCACCTGCACCTTCTACAGATGCGCGCACACACAGGAGCCGAGTAAAAAAAATCCCGACCGACTTGATACTTGATATCGTTATCGCATCTTATTTGTCTCGACACCATCCTAAAATATCGAGATGGCGTCATCAAATATCCACGTTTGGGTTGTCTCGTTTTCTCTCACGGTGCAAAACTTCAACTTTGGATTGTTAGGACAGTATCGGCGTCTTATTTTGAAAGATTGATATCGCAACCCGTGGCTTACAGTACATCGATGAGGGAAAGCATTACAGAAAAAAAAAGAAAGAAAGAACAACAACGCCTGTCGTTTTATCTTACGGCTCTGCATCGACATCGAAACTGGGCAACGTGTCGCATCGTCAGCCATCGTATGAGATCGATATTCATTCTAACTCGTGCTACCGTATGAACGATGGAGGGGAAAAGGAAGAGGGTACCTGGATTTGCTCGAAGGGGACCTCGAAGCTGAAGGACTCGTTGTAGTAGGGGTTGAGCGTGTTCTTCTTGATGGTGGTCTTCTTCTTCTTCAGTCGCTTGCCGTTCTGCATCAGGTGGATCTTCACGTACGGATCTGCGGCGCAACAGACACGCCCCTCAAGAAAACGTCTCGCAGCCCGGACCCACCCTGGCCGCGCGGGCGGGAGGGAGGGATAGCGGGACGCTGCCTGGAGCTCGTCTCCTCACCGCTTTGCAGGCGCGCCTTTTTCGCGGATATTTTCCGCACGGGTGGCGAGGCGCGGGATTATTGGGGGGTGGCGGCTGCAGCGGTGCGGTAGGGGCGAGAGAATTGCACGCTGGGAGTTTGTGGCTTTGCTCAATCAATCTCAAAGCAGGTTAAAAATAGAACGGCCGTCATCTCGCCGGCCCTCGTGTCACTTTGGATCGGTCGCGGTGAGCGGCGGAGCCGCGGGTGACTCTCGGCCTCGCTCTTGCGCGCGCTGCCCCATACGCGCGCGCGCTCTTGCCACACAGACTGGCACGCAATGTCAGCGCGTGCCTTTTGAGTGGCTTGTATGACACGCAAGGGCCGACACGCTCCTCATGTGACAATTTTGCAGCAAAAACCGAGACTCAAGCCAGTCGCTGATCAGTGAGCGGTTCCGACATCCAGATCGTGTCAAGTCCCCCGTGTAAAAGCTCACCCGAAAGGCCACCCACGTCCATCTTCTTCAGGTTCTTGGCCTCCAGGACCACCACGGTGAGCTTGCCGGCGGTGGGCACGTAGCGCAGCGAGAAGCAGATGTCGCCCAGTTTCTCTTGCTGTGGCGGCAACAAAAAAAAAAAAAAAAACAAGTCGTCGGTCATATTTTTGTTTGGCGGTGTGGCGTGAAATACGTGCCCGGTCTCAAATGACGGTTGGGAAACACCGCTCCATTAAGAGTCATTGCCGCGCGTTCCGTCGGGCAAGTCCGAAACTGTTTATTGGCTTTTAATGAGCTGTAGCTGGCAACTTTGTCTCTTTGTAATAAATGTGTAGACATCATAAATCAAGCACGTGTTGGTGTTCGGCAGCTAATGGCGGCGCCCACCGAGCAGAACCGTAATAGAGATAAAGTGAGGCCCGCAAAAATACATTGGCGTTCAATTGACAACATTTCATTTCCCCAGAGAAAAAAAAAAAAAAAAAAAAGCCGAAGCTCGGCTCCATTAAATGCGATCATTAGCTACATGCTAATTAAAATGAACTGATTCAATGGCTAAACATCGCTTTAGGAAGCCATGTTGCCGTAACAGATGAATCACAGCGAACTGGGGGAAAATACGAAATGAAACTCGACACAGGCAGGCCGGAGCAGAGATCCGAACCCAGAAGCTCGGAGCGGTGCTGGTGAGGCAGGCAGGCGGGCTTACCCCTTCATCAATGCGCTGTCCCAATACATTTGTGCTTTCTTTTCAAACGGCCCGGAAAAGTCCATTTAGTCCACGATTTGACGACAAACAAGCACATTTTCCTGCCCTCTTCCAACACATTGCGGAAACGCTTCCGGGCGCCGGCCTTCAAGTTAAAGCGCGGCGGCCCGGGCCACCTCGCGCTGTCGCAATTAACCTTTAAAACGGAGCAACGGTGGTGCTAAGAAGCAGGTTGCCGTGGCAACGTGCAAGGGCGCGCCATGACATTTAGCGTGAAAATTGAATCTCCCGAACCGTTAGCCGCGCCGGGTATTAATTGAAGGGGAAAGCGTGGCCGTGCGATTAAGCGCCGCTTGGCGTTTGGCGCTCACCTCCTCCTTCTCGGCGCTCTGCAGGTCTCGCCACTCCTCTGTGATGTGGCTGAAGTCCACCTTGTTCATGGGCACCTTGATGTCGCCGATGGCGTCGTGCTTGGAGAAGCGGTCAAAGTCGTACACCGTCATCACCAGGGTCTTCCCGCCCAGCTCCACGTAGGGAACCTGAAAGAAATAAAAAGTCAGAGTGGCCTGGGCGCAGTGGCGGTCTCTCGCCAGGGGCGGCGCTACGCGTTGGGCAAACATGTCGAAACGACTGAGCTGAAAGCAGAACATCAAACATCTTTTCGGAACAGTGGAATCTTGTATCGGGCACTAATACTACATCCTGCTAAATGTTGGACAAGGTTGGTCGAGGTGTGCTTTTTATTTGCCGAAACGCTGACTGTGCTTGGTATGGTAATCACTTCACGGCCATGTTCGTAACCATGGCAACCTCCGAGTTGCCAGCTTGAAGGTGTGGGGGCAGAGTTGGAGGGAGCCCTGGAGTTTCATGGCTCACGCTGGTCCGCTCAAGTTCTCAACGCAAGATCGACTATTTGGCCCTTTCTTATTTGATCCCAAAAATTCAAACTACCATCGAATGTGCCGACAAGATCACGATGATTTGAAAACTATTCACGCCACAGCGAATTGATGCGAGCTGTATGATTGCACGGGGGCAGGGGCTGGCTTCCTGTGTGAATTTTGGGACTAAATTGGTGTGACTTGCTGACATTGCGCCAAGATGTGCGGCAAAGCTCGGCCGCTAAAAGGCTGCCGCAACCACACCCGGGCTGCTCACGACATATTTGGAGGCCAATGGGGTAAAAATCGGCAGCGAGCACAAAGTTTCCTCGCCGCCGAGCAAAAGCCTCGCATCCGCGACGGCGCGGGCGTGTGATCTGTTTTGTCAGAAGCTTGTTAATGCGCCAGCTGGCTGCCGTCTGCGCACCGTAGCCCGCATGCAAATCGGGAGCGGGGAAGAAAAAAAAAAAGAGGAACATTACCTTGAAGGTGAACTGCTCGTTGAAGACAGGATTGAGGGTCTTGCGGTGGACTTTGGTCTCAAACTTCTTCTTCTTGTCAGGCAGCAGGTAAACCTTGACGTAGGGGTCGGACGTGCCGCCCATGTCCATGGCGGGAAGCTCGGCCGCCTGAATGATCCCCACGATGAGCTGAGCGGAGGAAAGAGACAAAAGGCGTCATCCCGGCTGATGTCGAGAACATCCGGGGATGATTGTCAACCGCTGGGAGGAGGACTTCATGCTCGGCGCCAATGCTGGAACACGTTTTTTTTTTATGCGATATTCCTTTTTATAGGTTTTCAATGTTTAGATTGGCACCTTGACTTACCCTGTGTTGTATGTGTGCCTCGAAGGCACAATTTTTTTTTTTTTTTTTTTTAAATACGTTCTCTCTACGTGACAGATTTTCAACCACTGAGGTGTTGGGGGTTGTCTGGATCAGCCGGTGGCCGCGGCGTGTCGGTCAGGAGACGTGGCTGATAATTGTCAAGTGGGCCGGGCGGTCCGATTGACCTGCCAGTCATCTGGCCCCACGAGAGGCGACCGAGCTTCTTCGTCAATCAACTTGCCATCGAAATCCTGGAAGCCTATCAGGTCAGTGTAAAATAACACCAAAAGAAAACGGGGGCCGATCGGATGGGCGAAAAAAAAAAAAAAAATCAATGCTGGAGCTTTTTTCGCCGCCTTCCTGACAAATTTGTGTTTCATGAGCCGGCGCGGCGAGGGGATTTTTACCCCCGCCGTTGAAAAGATCTGAAAAAGCAACACCACGTGACCTCGGCGGGCGCGCGGCGCTTGTAATCACACCTGCCACACTGTTTGCACATCTGCTTCACTGTTTGCGCCGCTCTCCGCACCGCTAAGGCGCTTCGCCGGCTTCACCGCACTGATGCGTCGCGGGCCGGCTCGACCGCGGCCGCTCACTCTTGCGGTCGGCCCGCGGGAACAGATAAAAACCCTGCAAAACAAAATCGACTCTGACGGACTTGGCGCGCGATGGTTGGGAATCGCGACTCGGTGTGTCAACGCCGAGGTGGTGCGCCAGATTAAAAGTGTAATTGCGGACTACGATAATACAGTATAGCCCCCTCCATCGGGATCGGGGTTACGTTCCATTTAAACCGGTGTAATATATTGAGAGCAATGGTTCAGACAATGGTGGTTTAATTCCTCGATAAAATTTCTAACTGCACACTGTGGGTTTTTTTTTTTTTCTGTGCTTCCTTTGCTTCATTTGCGCGACCTTTCGTCTCATTCGCTCTGCCATGAATCTGGGGGGCGGCGATATTTGGGGGCGACGGACGTGTTGAAAAATGACAAGTTGACCCGGTGGCCTCTGGGTACACGCGAAGAGCTCAGAAAAAAATCGTCCGCGTCTCCGCGGAGCTTTCAGGCCGGCGCGATAAACGGCTGGCTCCTCTGCGGCCGTTGTCACGCGCCTTCCCTTCATTACGCTTCAGCTGCGCTGCGCTGCGCTTCTTAGCACCGCAATCACCGCGTGCCGTAAAGTCTGATATTGTCCACGCGGAAGGCCCTTTCTGTGAAATGACTCCGCAATTTGTCACGGCGAAAGTCATCCTTGACTTGAGCGCTAATGGTGTGTGCGGTCCTTTGACTTTTACAAGTGTCATTAAGCATTCCGCACTCTTTTACTTGAGTGCTGACAAAGGCCACCGGTGAACAGTCGTCTCCTGGAGGAGGAGCACTCCACAAAGGAGATGAAGAGCTGCGCACGCTTTTAATTTGACGGCAGCATTTTTAGAGCTGGATTTTGCGAACGGCATTCGGGGTTGACTTGGCCCGGCGGTCGAGTTCGCGAGAAGGCGGAGAGGTCAAAGGGAACAGAAGAGGGATTTAGGTCGATCCCAGAACTGACGGTAGCATCAATGACTGGACTCGAGCCAAGAATGGACCGAGGCGGGGCGATGGAGACCTGGAAACCCAGAACAACGGCGTGCGAAAGCTGTAAACGGGCGAACCAACGGCAGATCTATAGGCTCACGTCCATACTGTCCCGCGATTCTCAACCGGGTGCCACGACCAATGTTTTGTTTCCAAGACGAAGGCAAATGATCGCGCCTCCGAGCTAATTGCGCTCTTGTCAGCCGCGCTCATCACCGGAGAGTCGGCTCGTCCCAACGGGGGAGGGACGGCGTGTTCAGTCAGCGCGTCGCTTATCTGTCACACAACATCTGGCCGGCGAACGTCGGTCCTGCATCGTCTGCTTTTTAAAAGTCAGCCAGCGGAACCAAAGAAAGCAGATGGGGATCTGCCGGCGGGATGTTTCTCCAATCGGGCGGAAACAAAAGGAGAGTACCAGGCGGAGCGCGACGCCGGAGCCCCGCTGGGAATTCCCGCAACCAAACGGTAGCCAGCCTTCGCTAAATAGCCTACTCGGGATAGGCAAGCAAACCCAAATCCCAATTTCGGGAGGGTGGACTTACGCCACAATGCGACATCGATACAAGTGAGCGAGAGAAAAGAGCTGGCAAAATTCGGTCTGTGAAAAGCAGCGGTCGGCAGCCGTGACAATGTTGTGACGTCCCGGGCACATACTTACGACAAAAACACTAGACAAACGACGGGGAGAGCTCGCTGTCTCCGGCGGTGTCTCACCGTGTTCTCGGTGAAATTGTAATCCAGCGAGTACTGTAATTTGCCCAGTTTCTGGTCTTCCTTGGGCTCGGCCTCTTTCTCCGTTTCCGTCAGGCCCGTTTCGGCGTCCTCCTCATCCTTCAAGGCCTGGAGGAGACACCCACCAAGAGTCAGTGCCGCCTCGCCCGAGGGCCGCCCGGGCGCCGGCGCTGCTCCCCCCGCTGCCGGCTCGGCGGACCGACTCCTGCAAAGGCTGACGCTTGATTGAGGACATTTGAAGGGTGGAGGAAGAGGAGGAGGAGGAGGAGGAGGAGGAAGGGGGAGCAAGCACTAAAACACATAGCGGTTAACACGGGAACATGCTCCCGGATGCACTAAAGCCTCGCTCCTCCGATGGCCCGTCCGGAGGAAAGATCACAGGACGGCACCGCAGATGAGCGCAACGGGCAGGCGTCGAGAAGACACACAGAGAAGAGGAGAGAAAAAAAAAATATTCTGGAAAGAGATCACAGTTGCCTTTGTGTCAGTTCAAGTCGGATCAACCCTCGGTAGCCTGGGCGGGTGGGGAGGGTGCCGGGTTAGCGGGAGGTGCTGGTGCTGGTGGTTTTGATGGTGATGGGGGCGGGGCGGGGAGGGGGGGGGGGGGTTGGCTTCAACATGCGATCCAAGAGGCTCAAAAGTCATTCACTCGACAGTTGCCGTCCGAGAGTGGCGTTTTTTTTTCCCCGCTTCTTTGGCATGCACAGCATTCTCTGTGGTGCTCCCGCGTCACCGCAACCCAATCCCGAGTATTGACACCCTCAAACATCATCAGCAGCGCATCATCATCGTCAGCCTAAAGCAGAGGTCCTCAATTTGTGTGTGTGTGTGTGTGTGTGTGTGTGTGTGTGTGTGTGTGTGGGGGGGCGGGGGGGGGGGCACATTTGGAATAGGGACTATTTTTGCTTTTCCATTTTAAAGGTTACCACTACTTGACATTTGTGTTTGACTTCCACAAATGGATATGGTTGACTTTATTCAGATCAGCTTTTGCGAGTGGAGCGAGCGGGTGCATGCGAGGCGGCCAAGCGGTGACAACCGATGTTTTACAACACGACAAAACAGAATCGGCCGTGGAAGGCATTGGACTGCTCATATCGGGTTGTTTTGCTCACATACCAAATGAGTTAGCAAATTTAGAAATGCTCATTGGAATTTAAAGTTCATCTTTTTCGATGTTCAGGCACTTTGGGATGCCCAACGTTGTTTAATTTAGCATCGGAACAGAACCAAATCTTATTTTAGTCGGTTTGAGTGAATTCATTTGCATCATCTCCATTCTAATATCCCCGAGGCATTTTCACCCTACGCTTGAATTGAGGACCCCTGCCCTAAAGATCGGTCGCCATCCATCCCCCTGGAGCCCCTCTCTTATGCCAATGCGCCATCCAAGCGTCATGCCAGCAAATGGGTGCTTGCGCAAGTACTATCAGGGGGGAGGAAGGGGGTGGTTCTTCTGAGTCAGTCGGCCAGTTCGCTCCAGTGAAAGCAAAAGGCTGAACAATGCCGATTGGTCTCCGGATTGGTCTCCCGCTTAGAAGAAGAAAAAGAAAAAAAGATCCAATTGGACACTGGGTCGAATTTGGCGGTTGGCTGGTGTCGAAAACGCGGGAGGCTTGCCCGGCAACCAATCGGTGTCGCTCAGGCCCGTCTTATCATACGTGTCGTATATATGCGCATAGGCGGCGTGTACGCACATATACACAGTACAAGGGCTCGACGTGTACTGTATGCATAGTTACATAAAGTCGGGCTCAACGGGGGGTTAGGCCGTCGTCAAGAGGCTATCGCAAAACGATCAGAACATCAGAGCAGCAGGCTTAAGAAAATCCAACAGCAATTGGGAAACCTACCGCCAGTGACCATCCCGCACAGTCATCAGACACAACACAGATAAGGAGGACATAGAAGGAAGAAACACAAATTAAAACAAAACACACGCAGGAGTCAACAGGAGCAACACCCCGAGAAATGACGGTGGCCCCTCCAAGCCCGCCCTCCGCGGAGTAGAACCCAGCGTAAAGTCACAATAAACCGGACGCTTCGAAAAAACATCGCCAGCGATGGGGGGGTTAGCGCGCTAACTGTTCGCATTCAAAGTCGGATCGGAGCGCCTCCCGTTTTGTCATTTCTCGGGGCGCGTGCCGCTTCATGAGCTCCTCATGAGACAAACCCATAAAAGATCACAAAAATCTGAACGTCATTACGATTTTAAATAATAATCATCATCGTCAAAAAAACGGGAGCCATGTGTTAGCCATGGTCAGAAGAATAGCGGCTCTCACTCATGCAACGCAGATGTGAAGCTTTGTTTCCCCACCACCCCTCAAAAAAACGCGACGTCAAATCAATCAGTGATTTACTCGCCAGGGAATCTGAGCGTTTCTCCCTTTCGCGACTTTTGAGCTCGACTCTCTTTTTTGCCATCGCTCGGAGCACAACCGTGACTTTCAACAAACGCGTTTGGCTACGCGGCACAACCCAAAGCGTTGCGGTCGCTCGTCAATCTTGAACCGCGGCGCCGACGGGCCGGTACCTCGGTTTTGGCCCCGTCCTTGACGTCCTTCATGTTGATGGCGTTTTTGCCTTTGTCCTTGCCCTTCTTCTTGTTCTTCTTCTTGAAGATCCACTTTTTGCACACGCAGAAGCAGCAGGCCAGCACCAGGATGATGGCCACGAAGGCGATGGACACGATGGCCCACGACGGCACTGCGGAGGGAACGAGAAGCCGCATCGGATCACATCGCTCGCTTCGACGGGTTCGTGGTAGAAAAAAATGCCAGACGAAACTAGCTTGCGTGGGGGGAGGGGAGAGTAATGCACAAAACCAAATTCCCTTTTGGAGACGAGGCATGCTAATTATTCTCCTCGCGCACCCTCCCGGACGCTCCTTATCGTCTTCATCGAGCACACGTCGGCCAATGAGAAGCACTTGCGTGCTCCTTAATTAAAGCCGGCCCGAGTCCCAGAAAGCCATAAAAGCCTCCCCTAATTAACGACATTGTGCGAGTGTCTTCTCTCCAGAGAAAAATAGCACAAGAGGGACAGAGCGGGGGGAATAAAAGGCGAGATGTACAAAGCCCTTCAACTGCTTATCTGTTGTTACGCCGAGACGTTAAAGGTGCTTGCTGAAAAATGTCAGACTAGCAAGCATCAAACAGCTGCGGAATTTTCCATGCTGAATTGTGAGAGGATTTCACTGAATACGGACATTTTCATTTCACCGTCGTCTTATGAGACTGCCGTTAAAAGCGAACGGCTAACAGACAATTTCGTTTTGAAAACAATGGAACGGAAGCGCGCGTCCACATGCAAGAAGATTCATGCCAGGTTCACTTCCATGAAGCGAAATTGAGCTCCTCCCCGACATACTTTGTCAAGAGCTGGTCTCTTTGTCGAGATATCTCATTATTCTCTCGACTCTCACAGGCATATATTTTTTATCCTCTGCAAAGAATGACTAAAACTACTGCGGCTTACGCCATGTAGCAATTTTTATCCTCATGTCCGCGACTGTACTACCTCCAGGCGGCCAAAGGGGCGCACACCAGGAGGAGCTGCTCGGCGTCCATCCCAAGTGCGGCAGAAAATGTGGCAAAAAACTGTCAACTTCTTTCCTTTGTAAATGTCAGTGTTGTATTATTGTGTTATTTAAACAGAGTCTTCACCAACCACGCTGAACTAATCCAATATGGCAAGAGCCTGTTGGCTCACTTAACCTTGGCCGTTACGTCTCGCTATGACGACCGCGAGCGGCAGTGAGGCCGCGCCCGCGCCTTCCGCCGGGTTTGCTTGTTGAAGCAAACAACATGACACGCGCGTCCTTCATGAAGGAAGAAGAAAAGAGAAGGAGATACGGCTAATAATCCATCTCAAAGAAGCTAATTCCCGTGTCTTTTCTTCATGGAATCTCATTGTTCTGCCGAGAATGCTATCGGGCGCTCGACATGGCGGCCAATTTACAGGCACAATAACCGGCGACATGTTTTATGACTCGCTCTTTTTTGCTCTTCGCGCATTCGTTCCTGGAAATAAAAAGATTCTTGTAGCCCATTGTGGTGTTGCGTTCTGGCCTGTCGTTCTTGGAATGTTGATGCAAATCGGCAGCAGAAGTGCGCTAGCAGTCAGCCCAAAGCTTTCGAAAGCAACCTGTCCAAACATTTCCCCGGAACTACATTTCAGAGTTGTTTTCCGCCTGAAATATTTTTTTTATAAATTTTTTTTTTTTTAAAGAATTGTTGATCCAAATTCCAAATAAAAACTGAGAAATCCCATCATCCTCGAAGGAGTCCACTTGTAGTAAATTGATGATTTGGAAATTGTCGATTTGCAGGGGATATTATATAACAGAATAACCAGAATATTTTTGAAAATACAAAACATGACTTTCATGGCGTCATTTTAGTGTGTCAAATTTTCAGACTTTGGATTCTATTTTTGCTGTAGCGTAGCATATGACTGTTCCGTGCAGGTTTCCATCTTTTCCTTAACCTTGGCAACGACCTCTGAAGCTGCGCCTGTCATCTCGATGCAATTTTATTTTGGTAAACACGCGCAGGCATTTCTCCGCGGGCACTCGTAAATGTCTCGGTGCGTATTTGTAGAAAATAGGGCCACTACTCTTCCACAGGAGCTTTTCTCCCCGCGGTGCGAACTGCTATATTTAACCGAGTCGGATGACGCGCTGCAAGCTCACGCGTGGATTTCACTCGCCAACATGTATGTGCGCCACTCTACTGGCAGGTGTGAATGTAACGAGCGAGAATGCCGCCCGCAGGATGCAGGATGTGTATGTTGCTGCTTTGCAATGATAAAAAAAAAAAAAAAATCAAAAATAGCAGGGCAGCAGTGATTCATTTGCATAACTTGAATATTTGGATGACAAAAGGTCCATCAAGCTTCTCAAACTGGCGCTGAGAGAAAACGCCGACAAAAACAGCAAAGCTCTCAAATGCTGACGGCCTGGCGTCTGCCCTAATTATATTTGAAACGAGATCAACATCTGAATTACCCCCCCATGAGTTTCCTCAAAAGGAGCCGTAATATTATTGCAATTATTCGACTTTTATCAAGCCTTCAGTTCTCGGATGTCTGAAATGTAGATGACGGACGGCTCCGTCGTTTTAAAGCCATGTCAAGATCTCAAGTAATGACGCGTACAAAACGCTCTGCTTTCTGTCGAGGCGACATCATTTTGACTTTTTATTTTTAGCAACCGTCCATTCTATGGCTTCCAAAAAAGCGGACGGCGAACCGGAGCCGCCACTTTCGGGCCTTGTCGAGATTCGAAATGACAAACACCATCAAATGGGAACATGCGAATGGAGAATAAACAGTGGCGCTTGCTCAACCTGGTGGTGATGCGAGCACAATAGCTCTCCATTATTTTCTGCTCCGGCACCCGAGGAAGATGGAAACATCGCGTGCCCTCCGATTCTCCTCCGTGACTATTCATTTGTCGACAAAATTGTTCCGGCTGCAGCTCCGCATCGCCAGCGTACCGTTAGTTCACCTTCAATTTCGAGTCGACATCGTTGGGAAAAATTGTTGGGGACCACTCACGTGGGATCTTGTTGAGTTCGTTCATGAACTTGTCTTTCAGCTTGGAGAAGGCCTCGTCCTTGGGCCCGGCGCCGGGGCCGCCCGCCATGTTGGTGGTGTTGCCGGACGACGAGGAAGAGGAGGAGGAGGAGGCGGTGGGCGCGGGAGCCGCCGCCAGCGCTTCCCTCCGACTCTCGTTCATCTTGCCGAGCCTGCGTCATCACGGCAGACAAAGACATAAAAAAAAATATTTTTTTTACCCCCCTTCCTTCGGACAGACGTGCGCGAGGTTTGGTGAGGCGCGCCGGCATCTGCCAACTAAGTCTGGACAGCTAAGCACGTGTAGTCACAACAAAGCTGCTCACGCTTTGCTTAAACGGGAGATTATTTATTAGCCCCGTGCGAGGCGGGCAATAAATGTCGGCGCCGCTTTCAGATTTAATTGAATCGAGTGTTTGCAAGACGGCCCGAAAGGCCGCCGCACGTGTGTTTGTGTCAACAAGACACGACTAAGCACACATGTAAAAATCACCTGGACCACAAAAGCCACGTGGGAGCGATGAGGGTGTTTTTGTGCTTTAGAGTGAGTCATCAACCTTGCTCCGCCCACAAACAATGAAAAAAGAGAAAAAAATTCTTTCAATTCAGCGGAGTCCTTCTGTCGAGTAGAAGCGCTTCAAACTTGGTCGCAATTCATGCAAAATCTCCAAGAGGAGTTCGCCTTTGAAGGACGACCGTAAAAACGGCTAAAGGCAACCTGGAAAATGGCCACTTCAGAACAAAATGGCAGACAGTTCCTGTGTATGTCAGGCCTGGCCCCTTGAAGGTTTTTTTTTTCTTTCTTTTTTTTGTGCGTCTACTCTCCATAGACAAGATGACCAAATGTTTCAGATTTCAGGGTGAAAAACTGCTTCAAATGGGCCAAATGACCTCAAATGGCCTATTTTCAGGCATGACTTTCATGTTGCCTCCACGCCAGCCTTCCGCGCCGCCTCCCGCTTGACGCTTTCAAACGACAGTAGGCAGCGATGCTTGAATCTAAACGCTGTCGTGCTACCTTTTGCACCTTCATGACTCATCCTCCTTTGGCACGCCAACTCCCGCTCGCTCTCCTCTAGCGGCGAGAGATCCACTTCAGCTCGTTTCAGGGGATAAAGCCGAAGCGGCGGTGACCTTTTCCGAGTGCGCTCGTGTCTGTGCGGGAATATCATGCATAGCATACATCCGGCCCCCCGTGCGCCGTTTTGACGACCTCTAAGCAAAACAAGCACAAAATGGCCGCTCGTTGCTCCCTGCGAGACACCGCGGCGCATCCTTTCCACTCCACTGAAGTGTCACATTCGATGTTCCGGCAGGCGGGGAAAAAAAGACACGCATTAAATCGGATTTATAATATGAAGACATCACCCAAAAATATTTCCAATGCATTACTTTGATCGATATTCTGAGATGTAGTCATGTGTAAATTAAAACAAAAAAAAACTGCAATAGAGTCATTGAAAAAAAAAAAAGTGTCATTAGTGTAGTATTTGTCTGTTGGATGTGTGGCTTGAAGGGGCGTGGCCTAGCGAGTGGTAGGCATGGTTTGCAGCCGTGCCTTACAGCAGCTCCGTGCGATTTGGTTTTCCTTTCCCACGCACAAGGGCATCACAGAATCGCGTGTGACTCAAATTTTGCCTTGCAACACGAAAATATTTACCATGCAAGTGATGACTTGTGACTCAAAAAACTCCAACGTTGGGACACTCGAGGAAGTCAAGGCACGGCCGTCTGCATATAATGAAATCATGAAAAAGATATACAACGCAGACAGAAAGAATAGTCGAAGAACAGAATCCGCTCCATCGGCTGTAAACCTTCAACCCAATTACAGAGCAGCCAGATGGCCCAGCACGTCCCCAAACGCAGCGCCAATGCTGGAAACAACACACAGTTCCCTTCTCTCTATCTGGGTCACTTCCCTGGCCGCTTACCTCGCTCGGCTACGGTGCCGCCATCATACTCTTCCTCCCCCCAAAAAAAGAAACCCATACACCAGCGTCTGTATGAATACAAAAAGGTCCGTCGAGCGGGAAGCGGGAACACGGTTCACATCCTTCTTGTAGCTTTCAATGAGTTAATCATGCGGTAAATCAGCAATTACAACCCCTTTATCGATAATTCTCGCTAACTATCGACAAATGTCAACTGAAATGAATTCCGACGCTAAGTCCCCTGGAAAATGAGCCGCAAAACGCTGCGTGTCAAAGCAAAACGGCAGACGTGGCTTTTGGTGACGACTCGTCCTGCACAAATTTCACGTGGCTCAGGCAAAACGTCTTCAGGCGAGCAATTTTCAAAAGGTTCCGTCAATCCCCAATTCGAACCTTTTGCTCAATAACCACCTGCTAACCGTTCACGTCCGATACAACGTCCCAAATGCTATTGTCTGGCTAGCATAAAAAGAGGCAGGCTGAATTGGGCCACGATCAATAACGTGGATCGATGCGGAGCACGCAGAGCGGAGGCAGACGCGTTTTATTTCAGCGTACGAGGGCGGCCGTGAAAAACCCGCTAATCAAGTCTGATTGCCTGCGAGTGCGTCGCCGCTGACGACCGCTTCGACACCACTCACGGGTTTTTCATGACGCTCGCCGGCTCGGGAATCGGGTACTTCTCGCAGATCCCGGATAAACCAATCGAAACTAATCAGCGCGAGGACACTTGTTCGGGTCCAAAGGGAAACGGCAACAGTTTAATTAGCATGCTGTCGAGTCGAGAGAGGCGATGATATTTATCTGATGTGTGAGCAGAGTTTTGGGTTTGTTGGGTCCGGAGTTCTTCTTTCTTACCACATAGGGGTGGGGGGGCGTTGACGGGGTTAGAGAGTTGAATTTATGCTAGGGGGGGGCGTGACGTGCCGAGGTGGCACGTAAGAGCCAAATGTCACCGGCTCTGGAGCGGCTCCCCTCGAGTAAAAGGCGTGGTTAGTGAACCAACGCAGTCATTTGCGGCTGTCAGTCACGAGCAGGACGCCGGGCGGCTGCCGACACGTGTCCCACGCGGCGGGGCGCGTCTTTAGAAATATAATAAGGCGCCTTGTGACCGCCGGCTGCGGCGGCCGATAAGAAGAAGGAAGTGGCTCCTTGCGCCTTGTCCCGCTCGGCCTCTTTGCTCACCTGCAGCCAATCTCTGGAGGTAATGCAAGTGGAAAAAAAAAGTTATTAACCTCGCTTTGCTGCCAGGCCGCGACAGCTCTATTAAGGCCGCGGCTCAAGGATTTCGCCGCATTTTCAATTACGCCTTCCAAAAGCGTCGCAAAGCTAAGTAGAGGGAAGAAAGGAGCCGGCCGCGAGCCTTATCGCTCTTCTCTTGTTCCCGCGGCAGCGCGCGCGCTTGCTGCCCGGACTGCCGGAGGGGACAACCGGTCCAGTTATATGACAGACAAGGCACCCCGTGGAAAATGGGTCGGCCATTCAGCCACAAAATGAAGTGGACCCAAATCAATAAGTGGGCGTGACAAAAGGGAGGGCCGACACACCGACGGATCGCGGGCCACTTTCGGCTCTCAGAATCTCTCTCTGTTGGTCTTCACCACCAACACAGGTGGTCAAACTGTTCTAACGGCCGACTAAAGGAAATGGCGTACGAGTTCAAACCAAGGTCTTATCGGTAAGGCCCTCAGACTGACTTGTCACTCACCCGGTGGTGATGCAGCATCAGCAGGATTCAATATCTCGTTCAAGGGCACTACGACATCATCACAAGGGCCAGGGATGGAACCCACAACCTCTGGGGTGGGAGACGACCACTCTGCCGCCGAGCGCCGCCGCCTGGAGGTGGGTGAAAGCTCGCCGCGTAACACACTGGCCGCTTCCCGGCCATCAAATGTTGACGCTGACCTGGACCAACAAGGCAGCGTGCCCGGGGGGGTCGCCTCAGCTTGGCGCAGAAGGCCAGGTCGCAGGGCCGAGTCGAAACGATAACGGGAGACGTTTGCTTAACCTGTGCCTCGCCCCGGGGGGGAAAGCCTGCCCGGAAACCGGTGGCAGGGAGAAAGCAGTGGGATGAAGCCCTTTAGACGCTGAAGCGCAGCTATTCCGGACTCGTTGCTTTTTAAGGCCCTGACGTGATTTCCTCCAGATGTCCTGAGCTGGGGAGCCGCCGGCGAGAGACGACGATGATGCGATGAGGCAAACCTCTGCCGTATTCTCATGTCGGCGCAAGCTTTTCCCCCCACACGGAAGAAAACGACCACGTTTGGGGAGAAGCGGAGTCACAACCGAGGCCTCCCAGATGACATTCCACTCAGTGGCCGCAGCCCAGTTTTTCTCTCGCCGCTCAGCTCTTCCCACCTCGCCGCGCGTCGAGCTCGCCGCCGCATTTCTGGACTGAAGAGGTTTTTGAAAGACAAATGGCAAATGGTTGCCTGACACAAATGTTGCTCCGGGCGGCCAAAATGGCGAACGTCATTGCAGGGAGGATGAATTTGAAATTGGAAGCGGTTGAAGTTAAGATCGGCCAGCGCTGTTCCTCTTGAAGGCCCCGACCGGGCCAGATGGGATTCAAATGACAGCGCGGAGAAGCAAAAGTCAAATGAAGACAACAACAAACACATTGTCACGTTGCTCATCTGCTCGCGGTGTCATCGAGAGACTGGCGAGGAGACAAACACCTTCGGCAAATAAACGCCGTGATTAGATGATGGCGGCACAATGGGGGCGCAGCGTAAACACTGGTGACACAAAGAAAGTCGTCTTTGACGATGTGCCGCTGCTTTCCCTCCTCGCGCCAAAAGTCATTTCAAAGTCGTCATGGAAGACGCGCTCGCTTTGTTTTCGTCGACAGGGTACTCCTCCTACGACAATTGAGACGGAGAAAAAAAAAAAAAAAAAGAACAGGCTCTTTTCTTTGGACTTGAATGAGCTGTCGCGTTCCGATCTGGATGCCATTTTAAACGAACACAACAGCCTTTTGAAACTCATCGCGCTGCCTCAAGAACGGGGCTGAAAAAACTGTCAAGAGCGTGCGGCCGGTGCCCCAACAAACAGGTATTGGCAGTTTGTCGCTAAAAAGACGTACTCGGGAAAACGAGCGTTTCTGGGCTTGCTTCTGGACCTTCAACACCATCACTGAAATTTGACTGGGACACCCTTGCTGGCTGTTGAACACATCTCCGCATCTTGACGCCCGACAAGGTTTACGGCACGTGTGGCGCTTGCTCGACAGGCGCACAAGATACCACCCGAGACGTTTCTGTAGCGGCGAGGCATCAAACCCGGCGATAGGGATCTGAGGCGACCGCATCCAGACAGCCTGAGAAATCGGGACGAAATTGCTGCTGGAAAAACACGAGTCGGCAGGCAGCCGCGATGGCGAGATAGGGAGATGGAGGGTCCGCCGTCGGAAAAGCCTCCATGGGTGAGACGGACGCTTATTTTTCCAGGGGGGGGTTTTTTTTGTCATCTGCGAGATGATAAAAGGGGATTTTCGAAAAGCGAGCTTGACCAAAAGACTCCACCGCAAGCATCTGCCCCGAAACATCTGTTGCGGAGGACGCCCGAGGCAACGGGAGAGAGACCCTCCCGCCTCCTACATGATCATTATCACCGCGAGCGACGGCCAAATCGGCGGCGGCGGCGTCGTCCAAGTTACGCACGGGTGAATTTTGGCCGTCGAGCGGCGGCATTATTAAAGCAAATGAGCTCGACGAGGGGCTGTTTATTTGAGTCAAGTAGGTTTTTTAGTAATTAGTCACCAGGCGAGTGTTCATTCCCATGATGAGCGCCAACGAAACTTGCGCAGCTGCTGGAGCGCAAACACAGCACTATTTGCAACCTCCCCAAAAGAAGATTGATCACCACCAGCTATTGTCGATACCCAAACACATTAGAAACTCTGTTCTCAAAACGAGATTGCTGAAAGATGAGAACGACGCCAGCTAAATTTTCAGGTATCACTTTGGGGCATTCCTCAAAGTTGTGACTTTTAGGCCTCGCCGTCTCACTCGCACGTGGATCCCCATTTCTGCGCCCGGAGAAGCCGCCGCGCCACACTATCTCGTCGACACCAATTCCCGGCGGCGCACTCTGCAGATAACTTCCTCTGACACGTGCCGCCCCGTCGCCCCAAAACGCAGAAGCCGCGTCCAATCTCTCCGCTCGTCTCAATTTGGAGGAAGGTAGCTGTGACCGCCGCGCGGGAGTCGCCGAGCTTGGCCGATCCCATTTATACAGACGCGCCGTCGACGCTATTTCATCCTCCCTCTGCTTGCTGCAAGCGTGAAGAAACGGAATGAGCTGTTTGCGCATTCACTTGCTCGCGCCGACACCCTCTGACAATGACTAAAACATTGCGACGACTAACAAAACACTCACATCCTCTTGTCTGCGGTCTCGGGCAAAATGGCGCCCGCTGAATCCGTTTATAAGGCCGGTTGTCGAGATGAAAACACAGATAGGGACCATATCGCGTTACGGCCGGATGCGTGGCGGCGGGAATTTAATCCCGAAAACACAGTGACGGGATTGAATGCCGTGTAGCGAGAAGGGATGAACGTGCTCAGGTTCCGAGGACTAATCCGAGGCCCCGAACTCTGAAGGCCGACTGCAAAATCCCAAGTCTAAAAGCCTTCGTCTACCTCCCAGTTTTTAACTGTAAATCCAATCACAAATCAGAAAAAAAAAGGAGATGAACAACGCTTTCGAAGCAAACCGCACGGTTTAATGACTCGGAATAAAACACCGCTGCCTATTTGGGGTGGTTTAAAAGCCTCACTTTTGTCCAAACATCCTTTCGCAATCAGGAGCGGAACGTCACCGAGCCTGTTAATTAGACACGTGCTAATTTAAAACGTGGCAGGTGACAATGTGACGGGGCTTATTTTGAGCATGAGGCTGCGGCGCCTGCCAAAGAACAACTTTTTTTTTTTTTTTTTTTGCCTCAAACGTGACGCCTGTGTGGACCAAGTCGTACCTGAACCGACGAGACGGGAAGAGGCCGACAGAGCGCGAACAGAAAATCTTGAGCGCCGGCTGACAGGCGAGAACCTCGCAGGGTGCCCTGAAGCAACGACCTTTTCGGAACCTCGCTTGCTTTCGAGTTTTTTTGGACCCTAAAATCTTCAAGGAAAACCACGACGAGCGCTACCGGGGTCGGCCGAGTAGAAAGGCAGACGGAGTCCGGGCCACCTTGGAGCGCGGCCTCCGGAGCCGAGCGGGCCACGCAAACATTTCATTATCCCTCCCTCATGCGGAGTCTCGGCGGACGCGACCTCGCGGCTCCGCCATCTCCTCTCATTTTGCCGAGAGAACGGGAGCCGCGCGCGTGAACGGGGGGCTGCTTTGCGGCTGAAATTGCACCATTAGGTGAGCTTCTGCAGCGGCTCCAGACCTCAATGTTCCCCCGAGTCGGGAGGAAATACAGTGACCTTCGCGTATTAAGTCGCTGATTGTGACCCATCATCATAATCAATGGCTTTTACACTGAAGCATGTAGCCAATAGCTCCTTCACCGGCAAACATGGCCTGAAGTGATTAAAGCCAATTGGGTACCGAAGATCGCGCGTCGGGGAGAAAGGTGCGCGGCGACCGGCTGTGATTATAAAGACGGATCGCCTCCTACGCCAAGCAAAGAACACTCCTCGTTACGCTAAAAGTCAATTACGAGCTCTGCGGAACGCCGCGAGATGCCACAAGGGCGCGCTGATTTCGGACGGAACGGCGACGAGTGCTGAAGACGATACAATTAGGCGCCATTGTGCTTGGAGTGGGAACCTCTCCTGCACCCATCAGAGAGCACGCCGGGATGCTCGCTTCGCCAAGTACGCCGACGC